TCTTTCTGTGTGACTGAGCCCTCAGACACTCTTTAGAGTTCTGATATGCCTCTATGTGACAAATGTCAGTAAAGGCAACAAATTCATTACTTGTTGTAGACAGGCACGTGAATTTGTGGAATGGATCAAATGTGGAGGCGCACTGAGACCAGAGAGACCATATGGAAACGTCACCCTCAGACAACTTTCAGACAGCACAGCGGTGAAGTGTTTTGTACTCAAGGGGAGGAGCCTATTGGGGATTCACAGACACTAGTTCCCTATCAAGTCTGCTCCCCTTGTGATTGACAGCAGGCAGTGGGAGGATCCTTACACAATAGACAGCCTGCTATTGCCTATAAAATCCACCCACTGCCTGCTGGTGAAGCAAGGTGTGAGTGGACCTGATTGGGGGTAATGAGAGTCTCTGCTTCCTCATCAGGCTACTCCCACTGCAGCGTCACTGGTTGCTAGGATGCTGTCAGCTGTGAAGCCGACATTGTCCTTAACAACCAGTGACAAGGAGAGGGTAGCAGGCCATTTTAAAGAGACATAGCTCCAGAAACTGTTTGTAGTACTTTATTAAATTCCCCCCCATTGTGCTGACTTTAATCTGCCCTGTTTATTACATTTTTATGGCACAAGATAGCATAGGTATTCTTTGTAAATTTAATTCTTGTCTTGTTATACGTCATTCACTTAGATAAAGGAAAATGATGTACTTTGATAGTGAACATGCTAGTCCTTTAGAAAAATCCAGGGCATTGTGTGTAAATCATTTTACATTATTTATTCATCCAATCGTGTGCAAACAAAAAAGTCTTTTTTTAATTTCCTTGCACAGAATTTGATCTTTTTTTGCAAAGTGATTTTTTACTTTATTTCCCTTCTGGGTTATTATGTTCTGACAGCCATGGGAGGCAGATGCTGTTTGGAAAGTGTCCAAAAGGACTACCTGCTAAACATATTTCAACTGGTTCACCAGAAACTGGATGAAATTTGAACAGTGTATGCCCAGCTTTAGAGATGATATTATGACTAGTGAAAATGTTTCTACTGCTAAACACTAGTAAATAAATCAGGCAGCCATGTTTGACCCACTTATGCACCAACATGAAGAAAAAAAATCAAACATTTATTTATAACAAGAAAATGTGTATCCCACAAGAAGCAGAAATTGTATCTTTATAAAGAGGTTTAAAGCAGAATTAAATAAATCTATGACCAAAAAAGAAAACCTCTTTAACTTGACCCTGGCAGTGACATAATTAGCAGACCTAAAGGAAAAACAGACTAGAAAGCACCACAGAAATAATGTCAACACAATCTATGTCCAGAATAGATGGGAATTAAACAGCTGAGCCTCTGAGGATTGCTGAAGTATGTCTGTCTAAGGGCAGCTTTAGCACCTTTAAATCTATTATAATCTTGGCATAAACAATTCCCAATGCTGTGGGCATGCAGGGAGACTTTAAGACACACTTCATGGAGAAGAATGGAAATCCATGTCCTTGTGAAGCATTTATACCAAGTGTTTTCCCATCTTTCCAATTCAGTTTCATGGCACAGTGCAGAGTGGTGTGTTCACCTCCTTTTCTTTCACCCTTTGGTTAGAGGTCAACTTCTCCTCTTTCACCATCAGGGTCAGCTCCTTTTAATCCTAGAAATTAGCCACCTGAGGCTTGTAATGCTGTTGGAGAAAGAGAGGCTGTCTGTGTTCTGGAGCAGCACGTGGCAGTCTTGCCTCATGCAAACCCTTATTGAATCACTTATTGAAACAAATTTGTATTCTTGATAGTCTATAATTTGAAATACAATATACAACCCAATAGTATAGAAAGTTGTGTTGTGAACATGATCAGTATTAATGAGTTATTACTGCAATGTTTAATGTAATTGTTACAAGCTGTCGCTTTCTTTTTTGTTGTAATAAGCATACCTATACTTTGATTTTAAAAAATGTACTTTTATTATAAGCATAAGGAGAATTCACCTTTTCTCCATTGGAATCCTGAGTGCATTTTAACACAGACATCAAATCCAATATCATTTTTTACTTTTGGCAAAGCCAAAAGTTAAAGAACATTTAAACCCAACATTTCATATTCCTAATATGTGCCTGCTGTAACATGTACTTGTAAGCAGGTTGAAAGTAGTTAGATAGGTGCTGCCCAGGACAGGAGGGTAGGGGTTAATGCCTTTCCCGGTTGTTTGGCTTTTTGAAGGGATCTTTGGGTCCAACCCACTGCACTTATGATATAAAAGGGGACAGTGGACCAAGTCCAAGGAGTTCTTTTCCTGGCTTTGCTTCTTCTTTAGTTCCATGGTCTTGCCTGTTTTTCCAGCTCTCTGAAGTCAGCTGCACCCGAGAGGAGTACAAAGTACAATGTCACAGTCTGCGACCAAGATATAAAGTTGTCAGAACTTAGGGTTCACCCCAAAGACACCAGTGCTGGAGAATGGCTTAGAAGGACTCTATGTTCATACAGGATCTAACTCTGCAGGTATGCTGGGACAGCACATAGCCTGAATAGGATTAGAGATTAGGGATTTAGGGAAAGTCTGTGTTATGTTGGACGTTGTACTGTTGCACTTTATTCAGTTAAAGAATTGAAACTTTGCCATTTGTCTGGTATGAAGTTACTCAAAGGGGTGTAGTGCAAGTAACCTGCACTTATTCTACAGCTTGGGTCACTAGCACATGGAAAATGAAGAGTCAGCTCGTTAAGAGTCATTCCAGTGTAAGTTATACATGTGGTTACCATGAGCTATGGAAGGTACAGTTAGCAAGTAGCCTGTCGGACCTTATGCCTGCTACAGGTGGAATTGGCTCTAGCCGCAAAGGAGATGTTGTCGGCACTCCCTACACCACATTTCATCTCCCATAGCAACTGGATTAGAACTGCACTGCAGAGGTCTCCATTCTGTACAGAGGTACGTAGGTTCAATATTTAAAGTTAAGTGCATGTTTGGGCGTGATTCCATGGTGCTACCAAGACCTGTGCTGGGAAACGCTGGACAGGTGGCTGTGGTTAGTGTTCAGCACAGCCTGACTAAATGCAGGCTACAGTGGGAAGATGTACATTTACATGGGGACCCGAGAGTAACTGAAGAACAGTTCTTGTGCAAATGTACATGGTGTACGTTAATCTCTAAGAGTACAGGTTCGCCTGTCAGGGAATACTCGCCTTGAGGTCGAGTATTCCCTGACAGCAATCTTAGCCTTGTCCCAGGGTATTTGTGAAACAGCACTAAAGTAAAAGTACCCCATGTGTGCAAAGAGAGAGAGAAACCCTGTACAAGGTGCCTAGCGTAACCCAGAAGAATCCACCCTGGGTGTAGGCCTCTTATGTTTCTCAGACTTGGCAGCCAATGAGTTAATTGGAAAACAGGGAGGACGTGGCTAACAACCACCAAACTACCCCTCTACTGATGATGCCCAGATGCCCTTTTTCCTTCTACACATGGGCTCATGCCAGGAATCTTGTAGTAGAGATCCCACTGTTTATTTTTGTTTACTAATATAGCAGAAAATTCATAAACAAAATTATGTAAATATGGTATGGAGGTCAAACACAATACCTTAAGGACTTGAGTTGATAAAGAGTACTGGTTTTTAATACAGATCTGTATACCAAACTTGTTCTTATTTAGATCTGCAGTTGAAGTGGAACTGGGTAGAGGAACATCTTCGACCATGTTTGACTTCCTTAAGTCTGATACCTCATATAAACCAATGCAATGAGCTGCAAATGAAGTGGGGTTTGACGACTTCTCTTTTGTATATCTAGATAGGGAGCAGATTACTACATTGGGGACCCTACCTTTTTGTTGATTGAGGTTTTAATGCACAAATGCACACATCATCTTCCCTTGCACAATCTGGTTTTGCTGCCTCTTGTTGCTGCCTCCTCTTCTCCACAATCTATTCTTGCCTCTTTCCTCCCACTCTTTTCCATTTTGTTGAATCCCCCTTCACTGTAAATTTGGTTTTATTTTCCCCTCTGCCCCCTACTCCACCATCAACCTCCTGTGCCTCCACTCCCTAGTGTGGTCTTCCTGTCTGTTCTCTTTCCTGCTCCACAGTATGTCTAGTCTTGTTGCCTCTTTCCTACTTCTCTTCCTTAACCTGGTCTTATTGCCTCCTTCCCACTCCTCTCTTCTACAGTCTGGTCTCATTTTCTCCTCTCACATCCTCCACCACCATGTGGTTTTACTCCCCCAACCCTCCCCCGGTCCACAGTCCAGTCATCTACCACAATCCCTTTTCAGTGCTTCCTCTACTCCTTCTATCATCACTTAATCCTTCTTTCCCCTCTTACCTCCTCCTTTTTCATCACAATATTATCATATTACCTCTTCTATGGCCTTTCTCCATGATCTGATCCTACTGCCTCTTCTCCTCACCTGCTCCACTATCTAGCACCTTCTCTCTGTCTACTCTGTATGATCCATTTTTGCTGCCTCACCCTCCCCTCTTCCACAGTCCATTCCCACTACCTTCTCGCCTCCCTTATTTATTATTATTATTATTATTATTATACAGGATTTATATAGTGCCAACAGATTGCACAGCGCTTTACAAAATGAAGGTAGACAGTTACAATACAATTTGGTACAAGAGGAAACAGAGGGTCCTGCTCGTTAGATCTTACAATCTAAGAGGAAGAGGTGAGTGATACAAAAGGTAATAGCTGTGGGGGATGAGCTAATGGAGGAAGTAAAAAGCAGTTTACTAGTTAGAAGCAGGATAGGCTTCTTTAAAGAGAAGAGTTTTCAGGAATTGTCTAAAGGTGATAGATTAGGAGATAGTCGGACAGATTGGAGTAGGGAGGTGACACGGGAACTAGAGAGCAGAAGGTCTTGGGAGGATCGAGGATCGAAGAGAGTGATTTAGTTGATATTTTGAGACCAGGTTGGTGAAGTAGCTGGGGGCAAAATAGTTATATTGGGGGGGACACCAACCCAAAAACCAAAATAAACAAACACAAAATAGAGAAAACAGGTATTCTACGGTTACTTAGTATAGGCACTCGGTTGTGACAGCTTGTGGTTTCACAGCCGGGTACCCACTGCGCATGCGTGAGAAGTGCTGCGCTTTGTGAATGGTCCGGCCGTCTTCTGGGACCTGTCAAGTGTCCCAGAAGATGGGGAGGGAGGACAACTCAGCTGAAGTGGGAGCGGGTACCTGTCAAATTCAGGTACCTGCTCCTCCCCTTCCGCTCCCCAAAGGTCTGCAGTCTCTGGTCATCTCCTGTACTATGTCTGCAGTCTCTGGTCATCTCCTGAAGTATGTCCGCAGTCTTTAGTCATATCCTGTACTATGTCCGCAGTCTCTGGTCATCTCCTGTACTATGTCCACAGTCTCTGGTCATCTCCTGTACTTTGCCTGCAGTCTCTGCTCATCGCCTGAACTATGTCCGCAGTCTCTGGTCATCTCCTGTATTATGCCCGCAGTCTCTGGTCATCTCCTGTACTATGTCCGCAGTCACTGGTCATCTCCTGTACTGTGTCCGCAGTCTCTGGTCATCTCCTGTATTATGCCCGCAGTCTCTGGTCATCTCCTGTACTATGTCCGCAGGCTCTGGCCATTTCCTGTGCTATATATGCAGTCTCTGGTAATTTCCTGTACTATGTCTGCAGTCCATTGGTTCAGAATATTTTTATTCTTGTTTTCCTCCTCTAAATCCTAGGTGCATCTTATGGTCAGGTGCGTCTTATGGCGCAAAAAATATGGTATATCTATGCATAGGTAATTCAATGCAAAAAAACAGAAGATGTCAATGTACTAGAAGGATTAGAACCTGTGTGTCAAGTTTTTGTCACTGTTTGTGTCCTCACTATGTAGATTCACCGACTTTGTTTTCTCTAGCGGCCATTCCCAATGAGCAGAAAGTGATGGAAAATCCAGTATATTACACTTGACACCAGAAAAAAGTGAAGCAAAGTCTTCTAATGCAAACAGCTATTCCAATGAAAAAGTCTAAGAGGGGAAATCCCCTCACTTTGCGGACATTTCCTTTCACTTTCATTCCAATTACATCACTGGGACAGGAAATCTCCCCAGTTGGACACAGACAAAAAAAAATAAGCTCAAAGTGGTTGGAAACTTACTCTACACTATCAGCAGTAATGTAAGAATCTATTGCAAATCAAAGACATTTTACGGTGGCTGGATATTAGAAAATACCTACACTAAAGAAAGACATCCAAATACATGTGCATGCTTGTCCTACATCTGTATGAATAGCAACAGACTTGGAAAATATGGATCTAATGTCTATTGGAGCTTAATGCTCAATGATCTATACTATAACACCTCCCTATTTTGCCTCAGTACACTATTTGATAAAAAGTAAATATAATTATATATATTTTATACATTTATATAATGATATATATCATATATTATATTTATTTACTGTATGTAATAATATATATTATATTTATTTATATATATTTCCTGAAGAAACTGCTGCCAGCAGTGTCTCTACCTCCCACACAATCCATACAGGGCTGAAGTGGAGAACTGGAAATAGCAAAGGCCAAAGAAAGGGTAGGACTCATAGGGAGCATTCACCAACTTATAGTTAAAATAGAACTTCACCCAAAAGGGGAAGTTCCGCTTGTCTTCATTCCCGCTCCACTGCCACATTTGACAATTTTATGGGGGGGAGGGGGAGAAAGCACCTATTTTTAAGAGGTCTTCACTCCCACTTCCAGTCAGATGCCCCACAGAGATTTGAGCCAGAAGTTCGGTCCCCCTCCTTCCCCTGCAGCCTTCTGGGACACTTCATAGGTCCCAGAAGACTGTGACCTATTCAGAAAGTGCAGTGTGCTTTGCACATGCACAGCAGGAATCGACTGTGAAGCACCAAGGCTTCACTGCTGGTTCCCCTTACTAATGATACTGGTGCCAGCTCCCGAAGCCAATTGAAGAATTGGCTTAGGTGAGGACATTGCTGGATCCTTGGACAGGGAAGTGTCCCTGTATTTAAAGTCAGCAGCTACAGTATTTGTAGCTGCTGACTTTTAATTTTTTGGGGGGGAGTCTGGAGCTCCGCTTTTAGTATATTAGCACAGTTGCATTTCCTGAAAGTTGAACTTTAGACAGACATAAAAGACACAAATTAATGCAACTCATTAATACATCATTAACTAGTTCAACTTTTTGGATGTACTACAGTCAGTAGTTGGCTTGTTAGATTTACACAAAATCGAGCAGCTCAGCAACCAGAAGTGTGTGTAAAACTCTTTTTACACACTTTGTAAAACTCTTTTTGCCTCCAGCATATGACATATGGCAGTGGTGGTAAAAAAGGTTAAAGGCTATCTCTCCCTTTTAGATCATGTTACAGCCGTATTTAGGATATAACATGTATTATGGTTGCAACCTCCACCCACCCATGCCTCCAACTCAAACCTGCCTGCCTCTTACAGCATGCTGGGGTTCTTCTTCCCTGTAGCAGCTGTCACTTTTGCAGTGAATTGTTAATGAGTAAACTATATGTTCTTTCTGCCACTGCAGAGGATGGATTGTAGTTCTCAATGGAGCACAAGTGCAGCGATTACCACACTTGCAGTCCATTCACACTTTCTCCAACTCTTAAACTAATAGTATATACCTCAGCATGGATAGAGAGCTGGAGGAAGAGTCTTCAGAAGCCTATGCATTGCTCCTGCAATCCATTGATCACTGTCGCAATGCTTTGCAGGATCATTTGCTAAATATATAATAAATACTATTTTGTGCTGCAAATATTGGTGCATTTATTAATTTTTGGGTAGATTTAGCTTTTAATATATCCACTGTTATTTGTGGTCCAACATGGAGGATCTCATAGACTAGAGTTAGGACTGCACTATACAGGCAGGCCTTTATGAGGGAGTGTAGCTTTGCAATATATGTTGTGTTTAACTCTGGTTAATCTCTGTTGGTTAACAGTGTTAACCCGTTGGCTAGCTAGTGAGTGTGCTGGAAAAAATGTGGTTTTCTTTTGTTCTGAGCAGGAAAATGAGCCAGTTGGGGAGGTGATAAAATAACCCTTAGACAAAATAAAGATTCACAGAAGAATGGGGTTTTCAACAGTTACATGCCCAATATGGTTGCCTGCGTAATTAATATTTATTATGTTTATTATTTTTTTTTTTTTTATTTACTGTTTTCCATCCCATCCCTCATGCCTTTTGGTTTCTTCTGCACTGCTTTATTGTGGCATATTATGGAAGAGAACATCTTCAGCAATTAATGTATGTTATAATTAAGGTTTCATAATCCTTTTTTATTACATAGAATTAAGTAATAAGATTTCACCTCCACATCCAGCATATAAGAGAATGTTGCTGCAATCAACTGCAGCCTAACATAAATCTGAATTATGTAGACCATAAGCAGTGCTGATATTGGAAACTTCATATCTTCTTTGCTTCCCATTGTTTCATTTCTTTGTTCTACAGCACTCTATTAATAACACCCCGCAGCTAAAAAATATTCATGAAACTGAGAGCTGTCCAGATAAGAGAGGAGGTCATGACCCAGCCAGTGCAAGCTCATCACTGAATGGACACCAATCTGAGCATAAGAGAAAGCTTGTCAATACAACCTGATGGGAGAGAGCAAAATATCAAATTAAAACAAAAGAAAATGGAAGCTGGCCTGATCTGCCAGCAGCTTAGCCAAATATAAATACACATACAAGCAAACTCATACAACATGCAAAGGCAATCTAACATCGAAGAGTAAAGCAAAAACACACATGTATATTATGAGGTTAGAAAGAGATATGGTATATAAACAAAGTGTTTATGTACTCTATCTATACAAATAGCAACAAAATAACAAGGTGAGATAATCATGATTTATGAAAGGTATGTGCGCCCCTAGATACATTGATGGGACAGTGTTCTTTGATTATTAACAAAATACATTTTTTTTGGAATTCGTGACTTCCAGGGAATGCTATTAAGTAAATTGGTTAAGCTCACAATATTGCAGAACTTGGTAGTTTATTTATTTTACCAAGGGACCAAACATGCATTTTAAGTTATAGAATGTTAATTAACCACTTGCCTTCCTGAAGAATTACCCCCTCCTTCCTGACCAGGCCATTTTTTGCGTTACAGCGCTGAGTTACTTTAACTGACAATTGCGCGATCATGCAACACTGCACCCAAATTAAATTTATGTCCTTCTTTTCCCACAAATTGAGCTTTCTTTCGGTGGTATTTAATTGCCTGCTTCTTTTTTCTTTTTTGCGCTATAAAAAAAAAAGGCCGACAATTTTGAGAAAAAAAAAATATTTTGGACTTTTTGCTATTAAACACGTGCAGTAAAAAAATAAAAAATGTAAAATTTTGTCATAAATTTACACCAAAATGTATTCTGCTACATCTTTGCTAAAAAAAAAATCCCAATACGTGTAAATTAATTGTATTACGTGAAAATGATAGCGTTTACAAATGACTGGATTTTTTTTTTTTTACTAGTAATGGCGGCGATCAGCGACTTATAGCGGGACTGTGGAGGGCATTCTGACACTGGGTGGGATCTGACTTGGTGTCACTGACATCCCCAGTGACACCAATACAGGGATCAGTGCTAAACAAAAGCACTGACACTGTACTAATGGCACTGGGCAAGAAGGGATTAACATGAGGGGCGATCAAAGGGTTAACTGTGTGCTGGGAGTGTTTAAATGGGGGGCGGTGTGTTGGTGCTTCACTGTAAGCATGCTGCTCTCGATGGCTGTGCTGTGCACAGCCATCCAGAGCAGTGTGCCTGAGCTGACAGGGAGGAGGATTGTTAGTAAACAAAGCAGTCCTCTTCCCCGTCGGAGATGCTCGGTAATCACCGGGCACTGCCGGGTAATCACTGGCCGGGACCCGGTGATTGACAGCCACAGATTGCACACACACCCTAACCGGAAATACAAAAATCACATATATGTACGTGATTTTGTGCACCCCTGCCGCCCTGCAGCAGTATATCTGCTATAGGGCGGTCGGGATGTGGTTCAGTTATGGTAAACAACTGCTAACAATGAAATGAGATTGCACTACAATCCTATTATCCACTCTTTGAAGAAACCACCAATGTAAACTAGTACTTAAAAAAGTATTAAAACCAAAAGCAAACATTTATTATATTGCAGCTTACCAGTTCTTAGTTGTGATGGCTGCATACATTTTCTTTTTTAGGCTTTCTTTCTTCTATTTTCATCTTTCATTAAGCCAGCAAGGCTGCAGTTTTTCAGAAGTTCAAGCTCTCCAGCAGAATGTATCAATTTACGTGGATGAGACAATCTATTTACCACTGGCTGGGGCAATTAAAATGACCAGCTTTTATTTATTCATGTAAACTCTTTATCCCAAAAGGAAAAAAAATGTTTGCTGTAACCAGGGGAGGACTGACAACTCATGGGTCCCCCAGACAATAGGGGATCATGGGGCCCCTGTGGCCTTGCCCACACTCAAAGCACACCCAAAAAAGCCTATAAAAGTACCAGGGGCATTTCATGGGGCCCCCTACTGACCCTGGGCCCTCGGGCAGTGCCCGAGTGCTCTAATGGTCAGTCCACCCCTGGCTGTAACTGATTATAAAGTGTGAGCTGGAGTTTGGCTTCAATTTGT